AGCAATAATTCCAATAAAAAATTCTATTGTAACATTGTTTCGAATAAATTCTCTACTAAATATGTGATATTTATTTTTTGTAGTGTGATGGTTTTACTAATGCAATCTAGATTAAATAAACCGTAAATTAACATCCAGGTAGTACATAATAATTCAGCAATCTTAATCCAATTCCAATCTACTTTATTTTTATTTCATTTTTTAAGTTTTTATTTTTTTTTCTTTGCATAATAAGGCAATTATTACATTATTATTTCCAACTTATTGGGAGTTGTGCAGTCAAACTAATTTTATGCCTACGTAAGAATCATTCTGACGTGGGCCCCTCCAGTCAAAAAAAACAATGGTTGTCCAGAAAATCACAAATTTAAATAATAATATGCAATCATATGTTTGTTGTTAAAATAAACTAATAATAATTAATTTATAATTCACTAAATTTAGAACATTGATTTATATATAAACAAATTAATAGCAGCTTAATTAGACTGTACTACTCATAAGCCACAATATTAATTAATAACAAGTGGTGTGCCACTTTGCCTTTTTTCTGTTAATTTCATGTGAACGCCAACGTGTAACACTAATCAAACGAGAAAATTGTTAATTAGCTTGCCTTAATCATGATTAAAGTCGGTCTAATTATTAGGTCTACATACTCATTTTATAATTAATGGATACTTTTGTTATAAAATATCATATTTAGAAAAAATAATATAAACAAAATATAACAATTTGATAAATAATAAGTATGCATACATACAAATAGTATGACGGATCGACTTGTCTATGTCTAGACGGACTCATACTTAAATTTGTGAATGAAAATGAAGAAATAGCGTAACCGATCATAACATGTTGGTTAGTCGTGTTATGGAACAGTTTGAGAATCATTCACTTAATTAGTTATATTAAAATCTGATTAACTAATGAGCTACAATGCTATGTAATTGTGTTTTGACCTTGTTTTAGGCTTATGCAAATTGCTATCTTATTCATTAATTTGTTAAATCCTGTTTTTATAAGTATGACAAATGACCAAAAAATAAATTTATTTTTTTTTTTTAAAAAGCATGATTTTGTTAGGTCAAAATTAAAATTAAAATAAAATAAATAGAGGTCAATAAATAGTGGAGACAGTGAGTCAGTTGTGGATACGCATGCGCGACTTGTTACGTCTATAGCGTTGAGTGCGGGCGACAAATACAGAACAAATAAAAAAAAAACACATATATTCAAAAATAAAATGAATATTAATAAATAAATAAATAAATCAAAATAAAATAAATAAAATAAGATACATTAGCTAATTATATTATTACAAATAATTGACGTATCTAAGAGGGTCAGTGGACTGAATCCTTTCATCCACACAGATTTTGGACCTCTTCCACATTGGCATTTAATCAAATTTTAGCTAAATATTCTCTTTGACAATAGAATTTATTAATTCGCATATTTGTTAATTTTTTATTTGAAATAATGATAAGAAAATATTCTAATACATAATGTATAAATTACTTCCTATGACTCCTGTTTGATGACCACCACCAGTGGGCAATGATGCAGTTCGGTGCAAAACCGTAACAAAATCGAAAATATGAATCTATCATAATGAGTATATAATACCTAAACGACACTATAACATACGAAAAATTGAAACTGATTCGACTCGGTGTTTCAGTTTCCGCTTTTTTTTCAATACATTTGTACTTTTCAATTTGGTTCATTTCGTGCAAAACGCCACACTAAATTGAATCGAATCAGAATTTTCTATATAATAACCTAATTGAATCACACCGTGATATAATTTTTATAGTATAAAAATCGAATTCAATCGAATCGAAAACTTTCTATACTATAATAATCACATTGAATCGTACCGAATTTCATGATTTGACTTGATTTTTCGATTCTAGATCAAATCTTGCTCCCCTATTGGACATCAATTGCCCTAGCTACTCCAACAACTTGAAAATGAAATAATAATTGATTGTTATGGTTGAGAAAAACATGGAGAAATAAGGAAAAATAAAATAAAATAAAAAAAAATGAAGGTAGAGTAAGTTTTCAAAAGAGTCCATATCATGATGCATGTAGTACAACCGACCAGCTGTATATTTGATTGTCCCCCGGTGATATTGCCTGCTAAGTTTTCATGTTCAACTTTTTTGACATCTCATTAAAATAAAAATAATAAAATGAAAATAAATAATAATAATAATAATAATAATAATAATAATAATAATAATAATAATAATAATAATAATAATAATAATAATAATAAATAGCCACTTGTCTGCTTTCCATTGGCGATGGGATGCATAATATTGTCCGGCCAAGATTTATTTATTGAGAAGGAAATTATATAAAAAATCCGTAAAAATTACTCTCATTTTATAATGTTCTATGTGAAATCCTAATTAAAAAATAAAAAAGTAATAATTATGATATATTTTACAAAAAAAAATCATCTACTCGCATATTTCTAACCACTACCAATTATATTAATTAATATTTTATTATTTTATATTATATCAATTTTAATCATTATAATTTTTCTTGTTCGATTTATAATCTCAAACTTATCTCGTTTTTTTCTAAACATTTTTTCACTTTTTTCTCATCCAGTAATGGTCTGGGCCAGGTAAGTATCCTACAGTACTGATAATGGGCCATTTGGGGATTAGGATGCACCAGCCCAAAGTTAAAGCCCAAATTCTGATATATATTCAAACAACTTCTGAACTTCAGTCTTCAGCTTGTGGCCTACTTGCATTTTAAGTTTAAGCCTACTTCAACCATAACCCATTTTATTTGTACACTTTTACAAATTTTATAGTTTCAAATTATAATAAAATTTTACGATTTATGATAAATTTCCGAACAAAAAAAATTCTAAATAATTTTAATAATTTTATTTAGTCCCATAATAAAAAATAATAATATAATACTGTCTTCTTCACTTTACATTTTCTTTAGCTATTCTATAATGTTAGGAAGATAAAGTGATTAGAAAGCAATAAATGTTAGATAATTGTCACATCCTTATCTGTCATGTTACTATATTATATAGTGCGTACTGAGTGTAGCATTAATCCTACTTATTTTGTTTTTATTTATGATAATTACTTGTAATGGAATAATATGTCAGCTTATAGTAACCCGCCTAAATAGATAGTGACATTTTTCGGCTTTTATTTCCCAATTTTTCATATGCCCTAACTTTGATAATATTGAAAAGATGAGTTGTTTGGTGATGGAAGGTAATATTTAAACAAATTTTTTGTATGAGACAATTTAATTGTAAACTGATAAAAGTATATGATATTTTGTAATATTGTACTTTTATTTATGTTAATTTTTAGAATACGACATTTCAATTTAAAATTATATATATTTTTATTAGAAAACGCGGACCCAACAGAATCTATGGTATATGGGCGAGGGCTAAGCTTCGTTCTATGCGGTTCAAGCTAGCACCCGTTTCAGCATATCATCTCGCTCGATTCAAAACAAAATCCATAAGAGGCGGAGTCCCAAGCATATCGAGAGTAGCTATAGCAGATCCATTTATAGAGATCAAGCCCCCCAGAAGTATAGATAGAGGCAAAGGCAGTTATGATTGTCTATAGACCCAACGTATAAAGCCTCCTTTTTTTTTGGTACAAAAGATAGAGGGCAGGGGCCCAAAACGATTAGACTAATACTCGACGAGGGTGAGATAATCAAGCCAAGCTCCTAGCCCGGGGATGACAAAATCCGCTGCAAACCTAGCCATCGCTGCAAGCCCGTTTTATTTCTATTAGACGATTCCATGTCGTTAACATTCTAATTGTTTCGTTCCATCATAATTTACTTTGCAATTGCATATTTTCACTATCAAATGTCGTATATTGTTTATAGTATCTTCTAAAATATGACATTACAGTATTAAAACATGCACATTTATTACAAAATTATATATTTTTTTTTAATAATTATGTCTACCCAACACCTATGATAATTGATAAGATGTAGAAACTAATTATTAATTACCTATTTGTTTACTCTAAATCTAAAAACAATGTACTTCATTTTATTAAAGCAGAAAAAATAATTCATCTTTCCAGTAAAAACAGATGACCTTTTGAGATCTGTATTTACCTAAAAATATGAAAGCCTCAGGGTGTAATTTCATAATGGTAAACAACGGGGTAAAACGGGTGCAGTCCCACGCACATAAAGCGCACCATAAGCAAGGTAAGCTCAGATGAAGTCCAAGTGAGATTTCATCCCAAAACCAATTGGTGGAAGGAGGAGTAGTCCATTAGACTTATAAATTAGGTCTATTTTGACGATGTGGGACAACTCACAAGTGAATCTCTAATAGTAATAACTCAGAAAAATGCACACAAACACAAAACCTATCATCTGTAACAATTTTGAAGAAACAGTCAAAATTATAAATGAACCAATGTGCAGAAACACCAGTACAACAGTACATTTTTTGCAGGTTTTGCATTTACTTCATAGTGAACCAGTCAAAAGAAAGTTACAGTCCACAAAGACACAAGAAATTGAATAATTTACCAGCAATATTTACCCCCATCAACATTCAAGATTCAGCAACACTCACCAAAAACATAAATGAACCAACATAACAGAAGAGATATATAAATACTTGGTGTGCAAAATTTATTGAGCAGAAATGCAACAACACTACTGAAGCCAATGTATCAATCTCTTCAAATTATATAGTATTATGTTTCAGCATGTAATAATAGCAGCACAAAAAGCAATTTTGCAGTGAAATACAGAGACCCCCCAACAAAAGCATCTTGGATTTCACCAAACCCTACCACAAAAATCACAGCTAAACCGAAACACAAATCCCCTCAAATCGAATCCCGTGCGTGAAATTAATCGACGCCAAGTTATTATTAGCATACACGAACCGAACGACAAACAATGAAACGTGTTCACGATCGATTTTATTATTTTATTTTTTTTTTACTTTTTTACCTCTCATCCACTACTTGACTATTTACGTAAAACGCTTCTCTCCTCTTCATCACCACACCTCCTCCATCGACATGAGGTCCCGTTCTGTACTTCAGCTCCGAACCCACATTCCTAAAACGTGCATCCATTTGCCCGAGCCTCGGGTCCAAATCCCCTCCACCGACCCTATACGACCCGCCAAGACTCCCCCCAATCCCACTCGTCGCGTAATCACCCGACGAGACATACCTCGTCGGGGCCCGCAGCCCGCTTCCTCCTGCCCTCAAATCCATGATCTCCGACGAACGACTCGAAGACTCTGCACCACCAAACGGGCCCGATCTCTCGTTTGGGCCCGAGCTCGGGCCCAATCCAGACGTGGGCCCAAGCGCACCACCGGAGGTTGAGGACGACACGACGAAAGGGTCGTCCGGGCCCCACGAGGTGAGCGCGTCCTTCTTGTTGGCGAAAAAATGCCACACGACGAAGAGGAAGACGATAAAGAACAAAACGGGGCTCGTCCACAAGATGCTATTGAACTCGTTCTTGAAAACGGGAAGATTCGAACGGTACATTGCCACATATCCATTGCCGAGGCTCAAGACAATTATTTTCTCGTAATCGCCCGCGACCAACGGGCCCGGGCCAGGGTCCACTTGCTGCTCCTCCTCGTCCTCTTCGACCGCTTGCTGATTAAGGAAGGACGATAAAATCTCGTCGAGGCCCACTGAAAAAACGTGCCGGGGCCCACCGGACCGGACGTAGTGCTGAGTTGACACGTTGTACACGTGAACTTTATCCTTGTTCGTGAGCAACAAGTAGCCTCGAATGGCCTGCAGAGCCACCGGCCGGTGGTGGTCCAAGTCGAGCCTCCTCTTGGATCGGACCCGACACTTGAAATTCATGGCATCACCTAATAATAGCGTATGGACCAAATCGCCATCGGAGGTGAGACCGTACGCTTTAGTCCGGTCAACCACGTCGAAAACGTAATTCCTCACGAAGGAATTGTTCAGCCCTTCACATTCGGTTTCTTTCAGTCTCATGTTACGCAAATCGAGTGAACCGGCACCTGTTTCGGTTAGGAACAAAAGCCTTTGCTTCAAGAATGAAACGGGTCGCCTGCCAGGGCTTATCGACCCGTACAAAGACCCGTCTTCTCCCAAAACCCGAAGCTTTCCCGCATCGTCCGAGGCAATGATGTACCTCTTTCGGCCCATTTGATGGGCTTCTAATAAATTGATGCGGGCCCCACCGGGAGTCTCGAATCTCCCGACCCTCTCCACGCGGAGGGAGTGTTTCCAGTCGTCACTTCCACCCGAGGCTTCCCACACGCGGTGAATTACGATAATGCCATTCTCGTGTCCGGTGGCGATTAAGGTCTCGTTCTTGAAAACGGACAGCACGGACACGACAGCTGTCACAGGGGAGTACTCGGACGGGTCGGAAAACGTGTCGAGCTCCAAGGACACGTCCCCGTTTTTCGAAAAGATCATCAATTTGCCGTTGTAGTCCCCGACCGAGAAATATTTGCTCACGCCATCTTGATCCTTGAACGGCAGCACGTTGAGGATGGTGGGGCTGAACTGTAATTTCACGGCCGACACGAACTGGAATTTCTCGGACCAGAACGTGTTGTATTTGAAAACGGTTTTCCGGGCATCTTTAGCTCCTCCTCCTCCCCTTTTCAGTCCATTTCCCTGCAAGATTTCATCTTTCGTGGAAATTTCGGTTTCTTGTTTCGTTTTATCGATGTTTCTAGCTTGCCTATGAGACGATGAGGCTAAAGGTAAGTTATCTACCTTCAAGGGGCACTCGTTGAAATGGGATTCTAACCTAGCAACCAGTTGGGTGAGGTTTTGAACTAATTCTTGCAGTTTTTCAACTTCTTTCGAGAAAACAACATCGTGTTTGCTGACAAGATCGGTTTTTTCCTCGGAGGGATTATCGTTTATGTGGTCGTTAGCAGCTTCTGAGTTTGAATTCGAAGATGGGTCTAAATTTGATGCAAGAACAACAACAGGGCAAGACAAACGCTGGGAAGTAATCAACAAATCTGAAACAAACAGAGTAAAACTCAACACAGATAAGAACAAGAACTTGCCTTTTTTACGAGGATTTGCCATTCAAATTTCGATTTCTTCAGAGCAAGAAAATGATCTTGAGATGGGCTGTGACTGTTACTTGGGACTTGGGAGCTAATATTTTTATTTTTATATTTTTTGGGCTGTTTTTTTTTTTCTGAAAGGTGAGATCTGAGGCCGAAGGGTGGGGATATAGGGTGGGATTTGTAATTTTGGGGAAAGTTATAGGAGGCGGTTTTGGGGCGAATTTGTAGTTTTCATAAAGTTTTGTGGAGGTAATGATGAAGTATGGTCCGGACAAAGGGTGGAATAGGAATTTGGACGAAAAGAGTGGCGGTTTTGTCATAAAGAGAGTTTTAATTACACTCAACTGGTCTTCAATTAATTAATTTATTAATTAATTTTGCAATTTGAATTGAGTTTGATTCAATCTTGAAAAGCCCAATACGAAATACAGGTAGGATTTGAATATAATGGCAAATGGTTTAATTTTTTTTTTTATATAAAAAAATATATGTCCTCCATAATATCATTTGAAAAATATTACACTAATTTACTAAAATAATACAACCAATAGTTCTATTTAAGAGCACCCACAATGTTTTGAGTCTCTTACAAAAAAATTATATGCCATGTAGGAAATAGACCTAGTCTATAAAAAATGTTTCCCAATACAATTAAAAGTGGATCTAGTCTAGCTTATGTGGTAATAAAAAAAAGAGACATAGTCCACGCTTGGGTCTATTTTAGACCCAAGTACAACCTAAGCACTAATTATTTATTTTTCATTTAATTTTTTTTTTAATAAATGAAATATATTAGAGTATTTTTATTGGTTGTCATGTATGCTAGACCTAGTATTTTATTTTTGCATTGAATAGTTTTTGAGTTTTTTTATTTGGGTTTGTCCATGTCATTTAGGACTTAAGTCTATTTATATGGCACATATGTAAAATTAGACCCAAAGCATTGTAGATGCTCTAAGCAAAAATTCTATAGAGCCATCGGATGGCTCCATTATGGAGCTATTCATTACATTATGTACTGACACATGTTCAACGTGCATTTATTGCAGTATACGTGACAATACACCATTTGTGAATGCCTATGAATGGCTCCATAAGTCAAGAAATCCGATGGGTCCATAGCAAAACCGTCTATTTAAGAGAAAAAGAATAAGAATTCAACTTTTTTTTAATCTTGTAATATTTGATGATTTACTTTGGTCTTAGTCTAATTTTAGCATTGTGACATCTAATACCATTTTATCTTAAACTTCAAGTAATATATCTACCCAATCATGATAA